TCTGAAGTTCATCAACGCCGATGCGTCGTCCGTCCATGGTGCCGTCAGAGCCTCGTCGGTGTTCACGAGTGAAAGTGGCGAATGGAAGCTGGGAGGGTTTGACATTTTAAGTTCAATGAATGAGGAGGACGCCGTTATATACGTAAGACACTCTGCCAAAGTGTTGGACATAGAGGAGTGCTGACCTCTTGAACAGACATATGCCAGTTTTCTACCGGACGCGGCTCGATACACACCTCCGGAAGTCGTTAAGGGGGGCTGGGATATCATCAAGCGCCACCCGCTCACAGCCATTGACTCATTCGGATTGGGAATACTAATCTATGAAGTCTTCAATGGCAGCTTCACAGGTGGTGACCAGGTCGGCAAGACGACCAACATACCACCTAGTATGCACCAGAGCTATAAACGGCTATGCACAGCCAGCCCTAAGCTGCGGCTGAGTCCCGCTCATTTTGTCGAGCAGGGAAAGAAGAGCGGCGGGTTTTTCCAGACACCGCTCATCCGCTTATGCGACGATATAGAAAGTCTGGGCCTGAAAAGCGATGTTGAGCGGGAAGAATTCGTGAAGTATGTCTCTGCTCCAAATCTAAAGAATCGAACTAATGCTAAGTGGTATAGTGAGCTCGATTCCCTGTCGGAGGACTTCCCTGAGGAGTTCTTCAAGATGAAGGTGCTTCCGGAACTTCTGAAGTCCGTCGAATTCGGCGGAGGCGGCCCGAAAGTGCTCAGTGCGGTTCTAAAGATCGGTTCTAAGCTGTCATCGGAGGAGTTCAACGCGAAGCTTACCCCAGTGATTGTTCGACTATTTGGCAACCCTGATCGGGCTCTGCGGGTCTGTCTGCTGGACCATCTACCGATGATGATTGATAATTTACCCCAAAGGGTTGTCAATGATAAGATCTTTCCTCAGATTGTAGGTCAATCGCCGCTTTGCTTGCTTGTCCCTGCTAACACTACCATACTAGACCTCCGGCTTCACGGATGCGGCACCCGTGGTCCGCGAGCAGACAGTCAAGGCAGTCTTGCCAATTATCAACAAACTCAACGACCGCACTATCAATGGTGACTTATTGAAATATCTGGCGCGGACTGCGAATGATGAACAGCCCGGAATTCGTACAAATACAACTATCTGCTTGGGCAAAATAGCAAAGAATCTTGGACAGGGTGTAAGTGCGATTCGGAGCTCTGCTGATTTCCTTTGCTGACAGTGGGTAGTCACGATCCAAAGTTCTCATCGCAGCTTTCTCAAGATCCCTTCGAGACCCGTTTGTACACGCGCGCAGTGCTGGTTTACTCGCGTTAGGCGCAACGATGGAATTCTTCTCGGAAGAGGATTGTGCGGGCAAAGTGCTGCCCGCCATTTGCCCTTCTTTACTGGATAAAGAGAAGTATGCGCTATTCTCATTAAAACATGCATAGGGCTGGGGCTAATGCAATAACATTAGGATGGTGCGAGACCAGGCAAATAAGACCCTGGACCTTTACCTTCAGCGTATCCGAAAGTTTAGCAGCACCATGGCCGACACGGTGCTTCCATCCACAACCAGTCCCGAACCCGCCAAAGACACCGCTCGCATCGGAACAAGCAACGACAAATCGTGGGCGGGATGGGCCATTTCGTCTTTCACAAATAAGCTTACGGCGGCCAATGGCGAAATTGAGCCCACCGCAAATGTTGCCAAGCCTGCCGAGCCAGAGCCTGTGCGCTCTGCGTCAGTGCCTCGTCCGACTCGGTCATCGCCACTTGTCCCTAAGGATACAGCGCGCCCCGCGGGTCATTCCCTAAACCGATCCGTGTCTGAGCAGCCACCAATGGTGGCCAAGGAGGAAGAACCTGAGGATGTGTACGACGCTTGGGGCGCGGTAGACGATGAGGACGAGGGGAGTGCGCTTAAGGAAGAGGATCCGTTCGAAGTAGCCGCAAGCAGCACCCCTTCCGTACCGGCTCCAGCGCCCAAGGCAGCCGCAGTACCATACGATGATGGCGGGGAGCCGGACTTTGCAGGCTGGCTTGCGGCACAGTCGAAGGTCAAGAAGCCGTTGCCTAAGGGCTTGAACAAAACTAGCTCTGCGACTGTTTCACGTACATCGAGTCGTGGCAGTGTGGCTCAATCGAGGACGGCTGCACCTGCTAAGAAGATCGATACCAAACCCAAAGATGAGGATGAGGATGACGGATGGGGTGATGCATGGGATTGAGATTTCAAGATTTTTTTTTTCTATTGCACATAGGCATGGCGTTGGGAGCAGGACGGAGTAAACATATGGCTGTCTGGTCGCAACAAATAGTGCTGCGGATATCTCGATACCTTATTAGATCAGGATTGGAATATAATACTAGATATATCAGAGATGGTATTCCCGACAAAAACTTTATGTCCTGTACTATAACTATACGGACAGGCATAAGACATAGCCTGTAGATATACTCAACATGAAACCACTATAGTGATCGACTTAATAGGGCGGAAGTCAGTCAGCGGGGAAGCCGCCCCGTGATTCGGCACTTCTCAGTGCATTCGCCGATCCTCCGCCCGCCGCCCGATGGATGATTCCCACTCAGCCTCCTTCTTCTCCCTCCCTCCCTCCCTCCCTCCTCTCCGAACTTCCTCCCCCTCCATCCCAGGATTTCCGGCATTTATTATTATCAGCTTTTCCTTCATATACCCTCAGGCGCGTCTTTGGTTCTTCTTATCATTACATGTGAGTTGCCTGCCACTTGTCTTGATCTTCCCCAGAGCCTGTGTATAACTCGAACCACACCGATGATGTACTAGTTAACAATCCTGCTGCCTTCCAGCGCCTCCGTTGTCCCTGCGTCCGTCTGGGCCGGTGGTATTCCATGTCATATTGAGCGCAATGGATGACGATTGATGAGCCTGAAGGTTGATCTACCACTTTTGATGACTGCTCCCCCGCTTTGTCCTCTAGCATTTAATCGCTCCACGCCGTCGCCATGGATTCCGAGGAGGTTCCTCCTCCTCCGCCATACTCCGCGGTCGATCCAATGATCGCCCAAGCCAGCAATAGAAACGCTGCCGCATCTGCAGAAGTTAATCGCACTTTGCTCCGCCTGCGGGGGGGTGATGCAGCATCGTATGACCCACCCGCCAGCCCTGCGACGAGTCTCGCTGGGAGTGAGAGTACAGCGGCCTCCGCCTCGCTGCCCGCCCATTTTACCTCTGCAGCGGCTTACTTCGCCGAGAGAGTCGCTGCAACGCAGAATCCCGAGCGGCCGATCGCAGAACATTGCGTCACTATCTATCCACGGAGTCAGTCTAAAGACTTTCCCCGTCGTCCGCGGTGCTGGAATACGCGGACGGAGGACATCACCCAGCAGGACTGGGACATGTTCCTACGGTGTCTTTTCCCCCCACATCTCGGACTTGCGTCGTCGTCTTCCGAACTACCCCGTCAACTCAGAGCCGAAATCCAGCGCGATCGCAAGGATCGACCTCAGGAGAGCGACGCGGATCGCAAGCGGCGCATTTCCGCGGTGATCATGGAATGGAATCAATACTTCTTCGAACCACGGTCAGCCCGTGTGATGTATAATTACGTGATGGATCCTCAACGGACGCCACGATCGTCTCTGTGCCCTAAATGTTATCCGGCTGCAACAAGCCGCACCGGACAGGCTGCCTCGAATGCCGGCCGAACTCGTCAGCAGGAACCGAATGCGCCACCAACAACCCCAGGTCAGGTTGCCGCCGCTCCACCAAACGCTACACCTAGTCCCGGACCCTATGGTTTCCAGCCCTACCCGCCTCCTCCAGTGCCTGGACCCTATGCTGCCCCATATGGTCCTCCTACTTTTTACAACCCTCCCGGTATCCCTCCAGTCCAACCTCCTGTGTATCCTTACGCCGCTCCGCCTCCGCCTCCACCGGGACAGTATCCACTACCAAATACGTGGGGTTGGAATGCGCCCCCATATGGTTATACCGGTCAAATTCAGGGCCAATCAAAAGGCGGCCCTCTCGGGTGGATAGCATCGCTGGCTTCCCAGGCCCAGAGATACGGTGAACGCATTACTGAACAAGCTGCGCAATATGGTGATCACATTAGCGCACAAGCCCAGCACTACGGTCGACAAGTCGAAGAACAAGCTATAGCTCATAGCCGCTGGTTGGAGGAGCAAGCTGGCCTCTCAGGACGGAAAATGGGCGACGCGTTCACTGGGTTCAGCGGTCGCCCGCAGAACGAGTGGGGTGCGAGCGAGCCCCCGAAGATCGGATACTACAACGCACCCTATACCCAACCCACCGCTGCCCCGACGGAGACTACAACGGGCATCATCACAAACCAACAACCGGTCTCAACACCGCCGGATCGCACGCGGCGGGCATCCGTGAGCTCAGAAGCTTCGGATACCTCTTTCTCATCGATAGATACGTTTTCAACCACTTCCGAACTCAGCGCGTCCGATCTGGCTACCGTCCGCGCACAGCTGTTGTCACTGGATGACTACCATGACCGAGCTCTGTATGAGCAAGCCGTGGGCCTCCGCCGCCAACTCGATCTTTTGCAAGAATCACGACGGCAAAACCGCGTTTCGGGCCGAAGCCACTGGCGCCACGGCTGGGGCCGGTGGGAATCGCCACAACAGCAGCAGCGGAAACAGGCCGAGAAGCGCGCCGTGAAGGAGGAAACGCGGGCGACGCGCAAGGCCTTCCGGGATGTCGTACGGCGGGCCCGTGAGGAACAGCGGGAGAATCGACGGTTGAAGCGCAACCGTCGCCGCCAGGAGCAACGAGCGCGACAGACGTCCGAGACTGCTTCGGATGCGGCGTTGGAGCAGCGCCTTCAGACTCTCGAGTTGGAGAATAGCCTCGAGGCCCCGTCGACGGTCCAGTCGACTGCATCGCTTTCGTCTCCGGTACAGTCTGCGGCCGAGACGGAAGCCAGTGAGATCAGCCCAGTTCGTGCACCGAGTACGGAGTCATCGCGCGATATAGAGAAGAAAGACGACAAGGTGATACCGAAAGAGAAGTCTGAGAGTAGTGATAAGAAGTCCGCTTCGTCGGACAAGGGGACTGGGAAGTCAGCCGATGCAAAGAATGCAGGTGAAGGGAAACGAGGTCCGTTGGGACGCAGATAGGGTGAGCATAAAACGAGGGCCTCAGCATAACGTAGTCAGGTTAGCGTCGTGTCGAATTAGCAAGCGGGATGGGATATGCATAGCAAGGTGTCGTCGGTCTGTCTTGTCTACTTGTGTATTGGGTTGAAAGTCGGAGGCATTCTTATGTGGAGTTGTGTTGTACTGTACATACAAGCATTTTGGCCGCAACGGTAACCGTTTTGGAGTTGTAACCTTCCAACCTTTGACTCTCTAAACGCTTTTTTTTGGGTAGATTCCAAGGAGATGGCAGCACTAGTTACTCGCCTGCGCCGCCTCATTCTTCTCGACCAGATCGCCGACCCCCAGGCCGCGGCCGACCTTGACACGCACCATCTTCTCCTGATCCTTCTTGTCGCCGTCGTCGGCCTTGCCCAGCTCGCCGACGGGCTCGCCCTCATCGCCGTCCTTCTCCTCCTTGGCGGCGCGCTCGCGGTCCTCGCGCTCGATCTTGGCCCAGTCGACCCACATATCCGACAGATCCATGCGCATGGCGTAGGCGTCCTCGCCATCGGCGTAGTACTTGCTCTCGACGGACTCGACCTGGAAGCCCAGGGTGTCGCGGTAGAGGCGCAGGGCGGCGGTGTTGGAGACGCGCACGTGCAGCGAGACGTATTGCGCGCGGTGGGACTCGGCCATTGCTCTTTCTGCCCACATACAAACAATATCCAGTCAGCATTAAGCCATTTTCATTCCCCGTCCTTCAACTCATTTCTCTTCTTTCGTCCGAAACCCACACCGCTAGGATGATGAATGGGGGAGAGGGGAAGGGCTGGGAAACGTACGACTCATCCGCATCAACCGCTCCGCAATCCCCAGCCGGCGGTGCGTGCGCATCACGCTCAGCGAGGTGATGTGGCCGTGCGCGACCCCGTCCGTGGGCTCCTCCTCCATCTTGGCCAGCACGTAGCCGACGACCTTGGGGTAGCTGTCGCTGCCGCCATGCTTGCTGTAGCCGTTCTTGGGCCGCACCACCGCCACGAAGGACAGTTGCGGCCAGGTCAGCGCGTGGTACAGGTAGTACTTTAGGAAGTAGTTCTCGGGGAGGTTGGTGATGTTGCAGGTTTGGATGGAGGGGAGGAGGTCGATGTACGAGGGGTAGCTGCTTAGGGGGAGGATGTCGACCATTTTGTTCGGCGGGCGGGGGGGGGGGGGGGGGGGGGGGGAGATAGAAAAGAGAAGGTGGAGAGAGAGGGTGTGAGGGGTGGCCCTGGTGGTTGGAGGGGTCGATTGATGTGAGGATGGGTGTGGGTGGGCGGAGATAATTTGACAGGTTAGATAACTGGTGATTGATGGTGCTTGGTTTATTGTTAAGGCGGAGAGAGAGAGAGAGGGGAGATGCTCGGGTCAGGTGCGTGCTAGTCCTGATTTGGTATAGTGTTTTTATCTCCCGGCTCCTTACCGTTCCTACTATGTATGTACTCAGGTATGGTACTCCATATACCTACGGAGTGATTGTTGGTGATGTGACGGCGGAAAGTCCATGGCTTGTGTGGCGATCTATGTCAATTTGCGATGCCAGAGTATTTGTTAAAGCCAAGGGACAACCTCATGACACCGTAAACACTCTCCTGCCGATCGTAAGAGTGAACATTGTCAAGCTCAAGACCCGATTGACAGTCGTGATCGGCCGATCTCTCGCATACTCCGTGATACTACTCACACTCGTAGAAAGACGGAAGGGAGTCGTGGTACACGGTTGATCAACCGAAGAGGGACGCTGCCGTAGATCGACCGAATCCAATGCTCGCCGGAGGCTGTGCGCGCTGCGGAATTCACCGTCCCAGCAGCCCTCAACGATCCAGTCGAGCCAAAGGCCCTCCGTGCTCGGCAGAGACTTCCTCTCCGGCCAATACGCTCTGCCGTCGGTGGAGGTGTTGTGCTTGAGAAGGTCGATCTCACACTTCGTGCCGGTCATGACTTCGTACAGGACCGTCCCCAGGAGGCCGACATCGATTTGGGTGGTGTATCCATTGTCATCGGCGGTCTCCATATCGGACTCCAGTGGCAAGAGCGACGCCTCGGACAAATCGCAGATTTTAACCGCCAGATCGGTGTCCAGGAGAAAATTGCGAGTGGCGATGTCCGCAACAAGCACCCGTTTTTCGTGGATGTAGCAAAGGGTGCGTGCCATGGCCCGAAACCAGGTGAGCTGAAGCTCCTGCGACGGCGGCGGCCGGCGCGTTTCGAGACAAGCCCGAAGGTTGCCATTAGCCATGTAAGCCAGTTGGGTGGACTCCGCTGAACACCCAAGACACCCGACGATGCCGCTAGAGCGGTCATCCGGATCGCTTTGCAAGCGACGATAGATACTTTGCTCGCGTCGGAGGCTGGAAAGGTTCACTTTCACGTCGGAGTCGGAGCTCCACAGATACCGTAACGGGATTTTGACGGCAGCGCCTTCTTGAAGCAGAACAACGGCCGAGCTTCCGCTTCCAAGGACCTGCTCTTGCGGGATTTGATCGCCTCGAGGATCAAGAAATGGGGAGGACATCGCGACACGAAAGCGGGGAAGGACAGTGGGAACGAAGTACTCTATGCGGGGGAGAAATATGACATAAGTTGGTCGAATGCCAGTCTACGAAAGGCATGAGGAAAATAGCAGTATGTGGTTAACTTTAGAGAAGAACTAACGACTAATTCAAGTATAGACCATGCACCTCGATGCCAAGTGGCAGCGAAAGCGCTTTCCTCGATTAGACACTCTATATCAAATGCAATAATTGGCCATCACCGCAGCATAGGAAGTATTCCGTAGTTACCTGACCATACATCCTCAAGTCGGCCTCCTCTACTTGTATGCAGGCAGATGTGGGCGCATTTACTATTGAACTATAAATATGCAAAAAGAAGCAAAAATTATTGATTCGGTTGCACTATATATCTCCACTAGTCATCATACAACGCTCATTTCTCGTGATCCATCAGAAAAAACAAAAACTTATATAAGGTATATATACTCAAAAGCTAAAACATCCATCCCACCAATGACACCCCCACCACCACGAACAACGTCCCTAGCATGCTGGGCCCCGGCAGCACTATCGGGGCCGCTGAGGCCGTTCCACAGCATGTGCCGCTGTATGTGACGTTGTTCATCTCGGCAGCCACCGCGAACACGGACCCGTTGAAGTTGCCGTAGTTGTAGTAGTCGACTAGCAGGAAATTCGGTGGCCGGCCCCATGTATCTGTTATCATGCACACATCAGTATACGCTCTTCGCGGGCTGGATTCCCCCCCCCAAAAAAAACTCACCGGTGCAGTTCTCGGCCATCCGGCCCAAACTCGCGTAGCCCGACACCGCATTGGTCTGGTTCAGCATGGCCGTGTTGGGGATCAGCAGACTGATACTGCCGATGCTCACATCCAGGTTCAGGTTGTGGTTGGCCATGTACATCCGGTTCTTGGCGTCCTGAACCGACAGGTCCGGCGGGCGCTGCTCCGTGCAGGGGAACGCGGCGTCGGTGGGCGAGAACGGGGTCTCCCACATCTGCGAGAACTCATCCATGAGCCACGGGTAGGCGGTCTGGTTGGCCTGGTAGTCCATGAAGACGACCGCGCGTTTCCCGGACAGGATCATGTTCGACAGCGTCGGCCAATCGTCCAACGCCATGGGGATCTTCGGCGGCGTCCACACATAGTCCATCAGCCCCGAGTTCTGCACGGGGGCCGTGAAGTTGCCCGGGTCCACGTAGTCGTAGTTGCCGATCAGGATCGTAACCACGTCGTATGGGTGCGTCTTGATCCAGGTGGTCACGGTGGTCAGGTAGTCCTCCAGCGTGCCAACGTTGAGCATCTCGCAACTCGTGTGGCAGAGATAAAGGGTCCCGTTGATCAAGTGTGTCTGGAATTGCACTGTTGCGGAGGGTAACGCCTGTTAGTCCATGTTGCGCAACTCTCCGGGTCATTGACTTACGCATGCGGATGCCATCATTCAGCTGATCCGTCACCTTGTAGGCCTGGTTGGCCGCCGCGTTGCCCGGTTTGACAAACGGGCTGTTGTGCGCGGCGACCATGGTAATGTTGGAGTACTTGCGCGAGCAGAAGTCGGAGTAGCCATTGCAGGGCTGCGTGTTGACGACCGGGGTCGATGTTGCGGAGGTGGTGGAGGTGCTTGTCGCGTTGGCTGTGCCATTCATGGTATGGTGGCCACCACCCACCAGCAGCGTCACAGAGTTCGAGCTAGTGCTCGAGCGCGAACTTGTCGTCGTGGCCGTTGCATTGCCCGAGGAGCTGGCATCGGTGATGGTGCTAACCCCAACCCTGGTGCTAGTTCCGGTCGTGTGGTCGTTGGAGAGCGTGATCGTCGAGGTGTATGAGAGATAGTCACCTGTCGGGAGAGTCGCTTCGCTAATGGAGGTGGTGATCGATCCAGTCAGGACGAGGGCCCCATCCCCTGCTGAAGTGATCGTTGTGGCCTCATCTTTGGCATAGGAGGGTAGGATGCCGGCCAGCAGAAGGGGGAGCAGATGAGCGATCAACCGCATGATGCCGGAGTGGGCGGAAGAGCGGAAGTCGGAGGCGAGGGACGCAGCGCTGCTACTGAACGAATTGCCGTCTCAATGAATAAGTTAGCTGGTATCTAACTTTATATGATTATATATGAAGGGGTGTGTCTAAAAAATGAAAGTGTAAAGAATGAAAGAAGAATGTCGAGTTGCACGAGAGATCAGGCGAGAGGGTAATGTGCCTGATGGGAAGAAAAGAATAATAACAATAATATCCCCCACTGATGAAAAAGGGTTAAAGGTAAAAGGGAGGGGAGAAAAGTGTAAGTATGTATTTTCAGGGTAATGTTGATACAGTCAGTAACCACCAGTAAGTTAACCGTGACCCTAAAGACAACCCCTGCAATGGTACTCATTACTTGATTAGGCTGCAACCTTGCCCCCATTTCAACCAATGACGACATTTGCTTGCTTAACCTAAAACTTCAATGCGCCACGCTGAACCTTTTTTTTTTACTTTGGGCCCTTTTTCTCTGGTACTATGTAAGTATGAGCATCTCAAATACTGAACTCTGGTCTAGACCCTATCAACACGGGGCTTTCTTTTAAACTACACAGTTGAGCTTGGTCTTTTATAGCTAGTCAAGAATGAGGTTTATTGTCCGTGATGGGGATCCCATGCCAACCCCATATCAACTCCTGAGTGTGTGGGCTGCATATCAAGATCTGCAAATCTAAGCGAAGCTCAAACAGCTTGGCGAAAATGCCGACGTGGTTGACACTCAGTCAATAGGATAGGGTAGTTAACCATGTGGTGGGGTTAGATTTTAGAGTTGAATGGCATGCACTGTTCAAGTGAGGACACATTGTATCGTATTCGGAAAAAAGAAGGCGATGCCAACAGCGATGTGCGATGCAGAGCTAAAATTAAACTGATAATCAACTAATTGTATCGCACGGGTTCCATTTAGATTACAGGATGGAACACAACATCTTGATTGGGCTTGCTGGGCATTGGTTCGCTATCTCTATTTATCGAGACCAAAGTCGCCAATGGTTTACCATCTCTGTTGTTCTGTTCTCTGAGATAAATACTTTTACTCTGGAGCAATTACTCAAGTACCATAATTACTCCGTACTTCGTCAGCACTGAATAGACAAGATTCATGCAAGACGATCGGAGGATCGGCTCTGGTAAGCGCCCCGCATAGCTTTCTTGGCGGCAGCCAAGTGGGGCCACGCTACTGCCGCAAGTGACGTCGCAGGCGTCTAATCCACCCAATCGAGCTCCCGAAACTGTTCTAGGCAGATCAATTCATCACTTATTCATCCCTGATAGGCAGGCCATCGCCAGTCTTCCTCCAGGCCCTATCGAGATTGTTCATTGCAGTCAATTGATTCTATTCTACTGAGAAAAAAAATCATCGTCCACGATCATCATCTAGTTTCAATTGGGCCATCAAGCCCTCCCCCCCCCCCCCGCCTTCGAGTGGCGCGCCCATGCTCATCGCAACCATTTACCACCTCTGGACCTCACCTCCTCTTATCCAAATCTCACCAGCCACTTTTGCTGAACCGTCCTTGAGGGTCTAGATCTTATCCTTTCCTTCTTGGGCGCCGCAGCCGTCATTACGTGCGACTAAACCGCCAGGCGGAGCTGTTACACCCCCATTACAGTCTCCATTGTGTCTCTCATTTTTCGACCTGATAATTTTACTTTTGTCCGATCTTTCTCCTGTTGTATCCCCTTTCCACCTCAGTCCACCTCAGTCCACCTCATCAGTCTCTACCACTCTCTTCATCTTCTCCCTCTTTCCCCCCTTTCCCCCTATAGTCCTTACCATTGGAATTCTCACTTTCCACCCAAACTGTCAGGGTCTTTAGGTTTAGCAGAGGGTCATTTCTCCTAGCACGTGGTTCCTGGAGGTGTAACGTCATCATCCACTGTGGTCGGTTGAGTTTCTGGGACCTTGGGTGTATAGATAGTATATACACCCACGCACTTTCCTGTGCCTCTGCAGCAGTTTTTCTCTAGCCTGCATTTTCCGATTCTGCATCCACGCAACCACTCGTTCAGACCATCAGCCTCCTCTTGGATTTGCGCAGCTTGCTATCTGATCTCCCCCTGAACTCCTCGGGGCTTCCCTCCGCTTCCCTCCAACTCATCCGCCCTGATCCGAACTCGACAGTTGCGCCGATTTCCATGGCAAAGCTTCCTTCATTCAACAAGTCCACCCAACGACCGCAAGCCGGTAGGACACGGTCCAAGGTACTCTGGCATCGCATCCTCCGCTCGCTGTGCTACCTGATTGCCTGGATCTTTTTGCTTCTGGTGGTAATTGGCAATGTCGCCGACCAACCCGTCATCCGCGAGACCTATTTCCTCAAGATCGACCTGGCCAATATCATCCCACTCTCCGTCCCCAATGCCGTCCTGATCAACACCATCGCCCGGACCATCGGGTTGCACGACTTCTACCAAGTCGGCCTCTGGAATTTCTGCGAGGGCTACCTCGACGAGGGGATTACGAACTGCTCGAAGCCCAAGACTCTCTACTGGTTCAACCCCGTCGAGATCATCCTCAATGAGCTTCTCTCCGGCGCAACCAGTACGTTTCCTCCCCTAGGTATATTACCAGCAGCTCAATCTAACTCGGAATAACAACCACCAGTTGCCCTTCCCTCCGATATCACCTCCGCCCTCAAGATCGCGCGGATTGCCTCGCACTGGATGTTCGGCCTCTTCCTGACGGCGACCGTCCTCACCTTCATCCTGATCTTCCTCTCGCCCCTGGCCGTCTCGTCGCGGCCCCCGCAGACCATCTCCGCCGACCCGACCGTCAACCAAGCCCACCCGCAGCACCGCCGCCGCACTTTCGTCTTCCTGCGCGCCTTCCCCTTCCTCATCCTCACCTTCGTGACGGCGCTCTTCACCATCGTCGCCTCGGTGGTCGCGACGGTCATGTTCATCATCTTCCGCAACGTCTTCACCTCGTCCGACTACGACCTCAACATCGGCGCCTCCCTCGGCACCCGCATGCTGGCGTTCATGTGGATCGCCTCCGGGTTCAATCTCCTCGCCTTCATCCTGCAGCTGGGGTCCTGCTGCGCCTCGTGCTGTGGCGGCCGCAAGGCGAGGAAGCAGTTGAAGCGG